CCTAACCTAACCTACTACGTACGTACGTACCGTACCGTACCTACCGTACGTACGTTACGTACGTACGTACGTACGTACGTACGTACCTACTCTACTCGTAGTTGTGTTGTGTGTTATATATATATATATATATATATATATATATATATATATATATATATATATATATATACCTATATATGTGTGTGTGTATGCACACTGCTTGCTACAAGTAGGACATATATTCCTTTCACCTCTTTTACAACACCTCCATCAACACTAAGCTCGCATATCAATCTCGCCTGCTTTAGGCTCGTATCGCCACGGACAATTCCACGGCCTTATTGCAGGCGGGGTGTGTACATATTCTGCACACGACGTAGTAGGACAAACATCCTTGTCACTATAGCAACACCTTCTCCATCGACAAACTCAATAACTTCACGTCTTAATCTCACATCCTTAGCCTTGTGCTCTTGTCTCTACCTCGACAGACTCTTTGTAGGCGGACTGTGTACTTATTCTGCACACTACAGCGACCATAGCCTGGCGGAACTGATGTGCTGTGCGTATCCCATGCCCATGCGTATACTCATGTGGCTGTTGGGAGAGATAACTATCATCGCCACGGATATGCCGGAAGTCATTGGATTCGGTGTCGCGCTGCAGGTTAGTTTCTCTGAGTTTTCTATGATTTGGTATAGATGTTTGCCTAGTGCATTGATATATATATATATTTATATATATATCGAATAAATCGTCTCCACGGAGGTGGTAATCGTACGGTTTTGTTACGAGAAAGCGCTGACGTAGATGTGACTGGAGTATTGATCTGTAGTCATTGTAGATTGTATTTGTTTTTAGACAGACATTTACCCAACTCACAAGAAAATTTGCTCAATTCATACAAGAAAACGCAACACTGCAGATGGTTGCTGTGCAATATTTCAGAACTAGATATTGGTGCTTACATTCATGGAACCGCGTATAAAATAATTGAATCTTCCCTCTGAATATGAATATATGTATAGTCTTTATGTCTAGATAAAGCCCTTCTTACGAACTATATGCTATGTCTGAGAGAGACTATCAACAATGTTTCTTGGCATGTGCTAGGTTTAGTTTCGAGCTTTTGGCCACCAACCTACGCTCAGGACATTGAGGATTTTTTTTAATGATAATTTTTAAATCATAATACTTGTCCAGTCCATGATCGAATAGTTATGTACGTGTATGCAATCATTTCGACAGAGATGTATACGAAGGATTAAACCTTATCCCACGGATAGGCTAGACGAAGCCAGAGAAGTCTACTTATCCTTGGAGTGGGGGGTGTCCATATCTATTGGTAATTATATGTGCTATGGTTCAGCAGTAAAACGCGCTTGTTTAATTTGGTGATAGTTTGACGGCTTGCATATGTCCGTCGATTAGGCGTCAGTGATCGGTGCCAATTCACAAAGTTTACAAAACAAGTACTGCATGTTCTCGAAGGCTGGATATCTCTCATACAAGCGATGTCTTCCCTCTTGAACTTATCAGCCGACTTACATTTTCCTGTGTTGCTTCGTCTGTATATATGTATATTAATAGATTCACCTTTCTCTTGATGTATTATAACTATTGGCCGAAGATACTATTTGGGTGGCCAGTGCCTGTAGGAATTTGTCTTTCGTTGGTGACGACGATGGCATTCCTCGTATTGGAAAAGATGAAGGTATGACGAGGGGCAAAAATGTTCAACAGTAGGTGTACATGTTTGCGATATGTGACTGTCAGTGAGAGAGAGTGTGTGTGTTGGTTGGCTATTATATTTGTATATAGTATACACGATAAACAGAGGTGTATATGTACAGCTGGTGATAGTCTGAGATTTATCAAGATAGTTGTGAATGCAGTAGTAAGCTCTAGAGTGAATTGTTATATATTCGCATACCAACAGTTTTCAAAGGTCTTGTGGCCACTTTACATATCAGCATACGCCTGAATATTATATCTATATCCAGCACACTTGACGTCTTACTCTTTCTAGTGGTACAATTTCGTTCTGATACTTTTTTGTATTAAAGCCTCTATGCGAAGGACATATGCCCATTCAATCATGCTGTCCGGCGAGACACAATAGCCATAATATGATTCGCAGCATATGGTCAGTGTGTGTGTGCAGGTTGTACGCTATCGTTATTGTCTGTGCGAGCCTAATGCACCATACAACTTCTAGCGTTTCGTACTGTCTCTCAAATGATACCAACAGAATAAAGATTAGCCAAGTGAAGCGCTTCGGGCCTGCTCTGCTATCGTTCGGTCTTGTATATTAATCTGTCCTCCTGCCCTGCTTTCTTCTAGGGCCGCTATTTGGAAACGGTTGTGGCGATCTTCATGGTAATTCTGGGCGTTCTGTTGATCGCGGAGATGGTGATGTCAAATATAGACGCGGGAGAGATGGCGTACAACTGGGTGGTTCCGTCGGTACTCGAGGGCTCCGCCTTCTCTGGCCTTGGCATTGTGGGAGCTGTGGTGATGCCTCACAATCTGTTTCTGCAGACTTCCTCTGCGATGGTATGGAGCTAGTCGAGCTGATATCAGGGTTCTAGTATGTGTGTTTATGCTTCCGGAGTTTAGTGTGGGTATTTACATGCAGACGTGTATCGTGCAGAATCGTACAGGGGTTTGGGATGTTGGCATAAGTATTCGCTAGGGCGACGGGCTACAACCGGGCAGTTCTCACAGTGCTCTAGAAGGTTTTCATTTTTCTGACCTTGGTATCATGAGGGCTGTAGAGTGCCCACATACTTTTAATTAGCGACTGCCTCCGTGATGGTATGAAATATGACGGGTAGATCCCAGCCTTTGATGATAATACACGTCTGAATCATAACATAGGAACGTGAAGTGTTTAGTATTGTGTTAGTCAATCTGTGTAGAGGCACAAATTATATGTGCGAGTTTATATATGCTGTTGATAGGCATGCTGGAGATATGCTAGGTAAATTACAGAAAACTTATAATATGTGAGAAACGGTTTGGTATAGTTTTGCCAGATTCGTTACTAGCAATTATTCGCGCGTATAACCGGGGCTTGTCATGCATACATTTGCCATACATACATAGAATCTTTCCCCCTGCCCCCCCCTCCTCGATACAACACGCACTTACTGCTTATGCTGCGTACATTCCCGGCACGAACAGCTGCGCAACAAGAAGGCGACGAATTCTCTGTTGAAGCTGGATGAAATTCAAGAAGTGGACAGTGCGCCGGCAAGTGGGGGTAAAAGGTATGGGGCCTGGGCGTCTGCTTCGGTTTCTGGTTATGCCTCTATTTGAATTGATGTCATTTATGGGTCTGGTATCCGCAAATTCACCTTCAGTTATGCTTGCACTCGGATCGATGTCGATTACAAGCCTAAAACCTGCAAATCTGTGTTTGATTGTCTTGTGATGGTTCGTTCTGTCGTAGCCATTCCCACCCGATGTGACGAGTCTAGGCCCAATAGGAGCGCAGTCGGAACTACATCTAACGTCTAATACTAAAACCCTAAACTCTATCCTGCACATTCTTTTCTAAAAAGTATCTCCTTTTTAAAAGGCCATGTCAAAACTAAACTAATTTTTTACTTCTACAATCCCTAGACTAAAACGCCTAGTAGAATCACCGTAGAATGTAAACTCTACCCTGCACATTCCAATCTAAAAGTTGCTCCTTTTTAGGAGACTACGTTAAAACTAAACTTAAAACACGAGCAATTTCAAACTCGTTAGGCTCTAAACACCTAGTAGAATCCTGACTCGAAACCCTAAACCCCAACCTTTAAAATGCCCGACTTTGTATCTTCAATCACATTTGTTTAGTAGCGAAGTCGGAAATCCCCCGGTCGGAGACGAAATAGAAATGTCAAATTGTTCTGATTCCCGTGAGGGCTCGAGGGCTGATATCTGTCGGGGCACCGCCAGTACGGCCAATATTCGCATCAAAGCGTCACCCGCAACTCTGGTGCGTGTATGGTTTTAAACTGTGTGTGTGTGTGGGCTTTATCGACAGTGATGAGTTCTCTGTGCCGATTTTCCGTGCGGCTTTCACCTGGAAAAGGGTGTGTAGTTGTATATTCCTTGCGTGTTTTCCCCAAGGTTATGATTTTTCTCTGTATGTTTTTTATGCGAATAGTGTGCACTAGGGACGCAGGCCTTGTGCAAGTGGAGTCCAGCGAAGAATTGCCAACTCTTTGCGCTCGCCATCATAGATGCAATTGTTCAGTCTGCTTGGTGCGCCTGAGATTCTTGAGCGTGCCATACATATGCATGGTTTGTGTTTAGCAGATGACAGATCAATCCATAGGCCAGCGCATTAGTGATGTCAGGATTGGGATATGGCTATAATTAATCTTACATCTATGCAAATGGCTACGCGTCTCTGAGGCGTGGTCGGTACCGCGGATAGAGGTTTTATTCTCAGAAAAGAAATGTCAGAACTTATCTTCTACAATGGAATGTATAAACTGAATAAGAACATCAGCCGGGACAATCAAAAACCTAAAATAGAACTTAATTATGTACGCAAATCGTCTTTTCAATAATAGCCGAAGAGAATGTCGGTCATCATACACTATGTAATGTCTTTATACAAGCAATTCGTATACTTGTACGTACATCTATATGTATATATGTATATATATATATAAATATATATATATATATAAATATATATATATATATATATATATATATATATATATATATGTATATATATATATGAGTGTATAGTATATATTA